TTTCAGTTTCTTGTCGTGTATAGAAAACTACGCACACATAAGAAAAAAAAAAGCCAAAATGCAAACCCCGCCCACCCACCCACATCTCAATTGTGATGAACTTTCTTATTCGTCGCAAGCCGAGGGGCGGAGCTTAATTTAGGATTTTTTTTGCTTAAAAATTTTTCCTTAAACAATACATTTACTTAAGAACATTTTTCAAATGGTAATTTATCGTAGAAAAATAAGGATCTTGCAATTAAGCTCCGCCTTTTTACTCACAACGTATAAAGAAAAATCGTCACAACTGAGACACGGTGGGTGGGCGGGGCTTATGATTTGCCTTTTGCTTCTCCTTAATATACATACTTTTCACAACAAACGACTGAAAACATGTTCAAAATGGTAAATTTTATCTTCCACATTTCTATACAAATTTACCATTTTAAACATGTTTTCAGTTTCTTGTCGTGAATAGAAAACTACGCACACATAAGAAAAAAAAAGGCAAAAACAAACCCCGCCCACCCGCCCTCATCTCGATTGTGATAAATTTTCTTATTCGTGGTGAGCCGAGGGGCGGAGCTTAATTTTGCCTTTCTTTTTACTTAGAACCATTTTTTAAACAATACGGTTTCTTAAGAACATTTTTCAATTGGTAAAGTTTCATAAAATATTAGGATTTTGCAATTAAGCTCCGCCTTCTTGCTTACAACCTATAGAGAACAATCGTCACAACAGAGACAGGGTGGGTGGGCGGGGCTTATAATTTCCTTTTTTTTTCTTCTTAATATACATACTCTTCATAAGAAAACACTGAAAACATGTTCAAAATGGTAAATTTTATCTCCCACACTTAACTACAAATTTACCATTTTAAACAAGTTTTGAGTTTCTTATCATGAATAGAAAACTACATACATATAAGAACAAAAAGGCAAAAACAAACCCCGCCCACCCGCCCTCATCTCGATTGTGATGAATTTTCTTATTCGTCGTGAGCCGAAGGGCGGAGCTTAATTTTGGATTTCTTTTTTGCTTAAAACTTTTCTTTGAACAATATGTTTAGTTACGAACATTTTTCAAATGATAATTTCTCGTAGAAAAATAAAGATTTTGCATTAAGTTCCGCCTTCTTGTTAACAACGTATAAAGAAAAATCGTCACAACTGTGGCAGGGTGGGTGGGCGGGGCTTATGATTTGCTTTTTGTTTCTCCTTAATATACATACTCTTCACAACAAACGACTGAAAACATGTTTAAAATGGTAAATTTTATCTCCCACATTTCTCTACAAATTTACCGTTTTAAACAAGTTTTCAGTTTCTTGTCATGAATAGAAAACTACGCACACATAAAAAAAGGCAAAATTCAAACCCCGCCCACCCGTCCTCAACGCACTCGTGATGAATTTTCTCATTCGTCGTGAGCCGAGGGGCGGAGCTTAGTTTTGATTTTCTCTTTTACTTGAACCATTTTTTTGAACAATACGTTTGCTTAAGAACATTTTTCAAATGGTCATTGCTCGTAGAAAAGTAAGGATTTTGCAATTAAGCTCCGCCCTCTTGCTTACAACATATAAAGAAAAATCGTTACAATTGAGACAGGGTGGGTGGGCGGGGCATATAATATGACCATTTTGTTCTTTTAATATATATACTCTTCACAACAAAAGACTGAAAACATGTTCAAAATGGTAAATTTTATCCTCCACACTTGGCTACAAATTTACCATTTTATTAAAAAAGATTTTAGTTTCTTGTCGTGAATAGAAAACTACGCACACATAAGAAAACACAGGCAAAATGCAAACCCCGCCCACCTCCGCTCGTCTCAATTGTGATGAATTTTCTTATTCATCGTGAGCCGAGGGGCGGAGCTTATTTTTGGCTTTCTGTTTTACTTAAAACTTTTATTTTGCACAAATACGTTTACTTAAGAACATAAGGAAAAATCGTCACAACTGAGACAGGGTAGGTAGGCGGGGCTTATGATTTGCCTTTTGTTTCTGCTTAATGTACATACTCTTCACAACAAACGACTGAAAACTTGTTTAAAATGGTAATTTTTATTTCCCACACTTCTCTACAGATTTACCATTTTAAATCAGTTTTCAGTTCTTGTCATGAACAAAAACAAACCCCGCCCACCCGCCCTCATCTCAATTGTGATGAATTTTCTTATTCGTCGTGAGCCGAGGGGCGGAGCTTAATTGTTAAATGTTTATTTCTGTACAAGAAACTACCATGTTTGTCAGGATGAGGTTGTTGAAAGAAAAGTATATGTTAAGAAAGAAAAAGTTAAAAATAAGCCCCGGATTGTTCATTTTTATTGGTTCAAATCTGTGACTGTTTTGTTACTTTGTTCAAATATCAAGATATAAATAAAAAAACCAGAACTTTGAATTAAAAATGTTACATTCTGTGATGTTTTTTTAAGAACTTCTGAAATAAAAATTATTATAAAATTTTATTATCCCGGCGCCTCCACCATTTTTAATAGAAAATTTTAAATTGTTCGATCGCTCAAAAAAAACATTTCCTACTCGAAAATTTCCTCAGAATTACGAATCTGTGCTTATTCTTGTCATATCTTGACTAGTAAGAAAGAGAAACATGTTTATAAGAAAAAAAATAGTAGACGGTTAAATTGATCTTGAAAGTTGGTTCAAATCTATGGCTGTTTTGTTATTTTGTTCAAATAGCAGAATATAAATAAAAAAATTCGCAAATTCTGATTGAATATGCTACTTTGAATGCTATTTTCTTAAGAAATTTTGAAACTAAAATTATTATAAAAATTTATTATCCCGGCGCCTCCACCATTTTTGATCGAAAATTTTAAATTGTTCGATCGGTCAAAACAAAACATTTCCTACTCGAAAATTTCCTCAGAATTACGAATCTGTGCTTATTCTTGTCATATCTTGACTAATAAGGAAGACATGTCTATAAGAAAAAAACTAGTAGACGTTTAAATTGATCTTGAAAGTTGGTTCAAATCTATGGCTGTTTTGTTATTTTGTTCAAATAGCAGAATATAAATTAAAAAATCCGCAAATTCTGATTAAATATGCTACTTTGAATGATATGTTCTTAAGAAATTTTGAAATTAAAATTATTATAGGAATTTATTATTCCGGCGCCTCCACCATTTTTGATCGAAAATTTTAAATTGTTCGATCGGTCAAAAAAAAAACATTTCCTACTCGAAAATTTCCTCAGAATTACGAATCTGTGCTTATTCTTGTCATACCTTTGACTAGTAAGAAAAACATGTTTATAAAAAAAAAATAGTAGACGGTTAAATTGATCTGAAAGTTGGTTCAAATCTGTAGCTGATTTGTTATTTTGTTCAAATAGCAGAATATAAATAAAAAAAATCCACAAATTCTGATTAAATATGCTACTTTGAATGATATTTTCTTAAGAAATTTTGAAACTAAAATTATTATAAAAATTTATTATCCCGGCGCATCCACCACTTTTGATCGAAAATTTTAAATTGTGCGATCGGTCAAAAAAAAAAATTTCCTACTAGAAAATTTTCTCAGAATTACGAATCTGTGCTCATTCTTATCATATCTTGACTAGTAAGGAAGACATGTTTATAAGAAAAAAAATAGTAGACGGTTAAATTGATCTTGAAAGTTGGTTCAAAAATATGGCTGTTTTGTTATTTTGTTCAAATAGCAGAATATAAATAAAAAAATCCACAAATTCTGATTGAATATGCTAATTTGAATGATATTTTCTTAAGAAATTTTGAAACTAAAATTATTATAAAAATTTATTATCCCGGCGCCTCCAACATTTTTGATCGAAAATTTTAAATTGTTCGATCGGTCAAAATAAAAACATTTCCTAATCCAAAATTTCCTCAGAATTACGAATCTGTGCTTATTCTTGTCATATCTTTACTAGTAAGGAAGATAAACATGTTTATAAGAAAAAAAATAGTAGTCGGTTAAATTGATCTTGAAAGTTGGTTCAAATCTGTGGCTGTTTTGTTATTTTGTTCAAATAGGCTACATTCTGTGATATTTTCTTAAGAACTTTTGAAACTAAAATTATTGTAAAAATTGATTATCCCGGCGCCTCCACCTTTTTTACCTGAAAAATTAAAATTGTTAAATTGGCCCGAAAAAAACTTCTTGTTACAAAATTTCCTCAGAACTGCTAATAAGTAACGAAGATGAACACGTTTTCTACGTAAAAATTGGAGCTTGAACCTAGAAGCGGTAATTTTTTTTGAGTCGTTCAAGGATCGCTTTGTTATTTTGTTTAAAAACACGCTCCTTCTAAACAAGCTCAAGATTCCTGTAGCAATTTCGATCTCCGTCGGAAGTCTCTTCGCCTGATACACAGTTTCGCGTTATCGGAAATTCGCGGCGACGGCTCGACACTTCAAGGTCGCCCAGCAGCCTTAAACGCCCATTTTGCGCAAATGCTGCCCCATTAACGCCAATTTCAGGCCTGGACTTCCCGACAGACGCCTGTTAAATTTTATTTGCATTCGGAAGCGGAATTGCCTATTCTGTTGCATTAAAGCCTCGACCCTTCATTTATTCCCGTTCTTGCGACAATATTGGCGATAAGCCAAAAAACGATTTCCTCGGCGATCGGCCAGATTAATGCGTCCCGGAGGTCTAAGACCGGCTTCCTCAAACTGTCTGGAGACGAACCTACCTGGGTCAACAAAAAACGGAAAATTCTAGACTGGAAAACATCCAGTCGCACGTTTTAAGCTTCGAGTATCCAATTTAATTCGTTCAGACTGGCCACGATTGCGAACGACCTGAGTATTTGCACTAAATAAAAACAAAAAATGCGACGAAGAAACGGAGTCTGCGACTGGGTTCAGTGTGATAGTTAATTAATTTTTACGGGCGGGAAAATGCATGCGGGGAAATTCGAGCGACGCGTCTAAGTCGTTTTTTTGGCGAAATTCCATAATCTAGCTTCTCGCGTAGTCAAATCCAACAAACAAGACTTTAACCGGATTATCCAATTTTGTTGCAGCGTGTTCTGTGAGCGTCGGCGTCTGGACGCTCGTAGCCATCTCCGTGGAACGCTACTACGCCATCTGCCACCCGTTGAGATCACTGAGGTGGCAGACGATAAGTCACGCTTATAAGCTGATCGTGGGCATATGGATCGGAAGTTTCGTCTGCATGGCTCCCATAGCCCTCCTCAGCCAACTCAAGCCCACCAAACAAGGTAAACCCGACGTTTTTGTCGTTTTCATTAAAGTCCTTAAGTGGGACCGCCGCAAACACCGATAAATCCTTTTACTCGTGATGGGCCTAAATAATAAATCAATACCGGCCGCTACTTTCCAGCCAATTGAACTTTGAAACAAACCCGCACCAGCACATTTTTTCGCGGATTTACTCGCCGAATTTTAAATAATTCACTGGATAACGAAAGTTTGTGGTTTTTTCCTTTCCACTCGTTCGTAATGGTGAATTATCGCGACCCGAACTCTAAGCTCGAATCCTATTATCAAACTTTCCCTCTTAATTAAGTATGATTTACAAAATACGCCCTCAGAGACCCGCCAAGTCCCCGAAACAAAACCACAACGGGAACGCGTTTCTACGACCACGCACTTTCGTCGCGACATTCATATAAAATCGTTCCAAAAAACTCGCCCTCTTGGGCCAAATCCATCCAGTTTCTACGACCACAGTACAAAAAGTGCTTACTTTCTCTCGAGATTCTCGTCATATTTTTTCGATAAATTGTTTTCAGGCAACTACAAATGCCGCGAAGACTGGCCGTCTCTGGAGTACGAGAAGGCCTACAACCTCTTCCTCGACGTTGTACTTCTTGTCATCCCCCTCCTCGTCCTCGGGGTGGCCTACTCCCTCATCACCCGCACCCTCTGCAAGGGCATGCGGACCGAGAAAACCCTGCGAGACTCCTGTACGCAAACAACACAATTTCAAATTCTCGCTAACTATGTTTGTCTAGCAAACGGCGCAGTCGACGCCTACATCACCCTGCATGGCTCCACCACCAGCCGCTGGGGCAGCAAAGGCCGCTCCAACTCCCAGTGGCGTCAGCTGCGTCACAACTGGTCCCAGGACTCGTCTAGCCCGTTCGGGGGCTCGCAGAAGCAGATGTCCAGCGGGCTGAGGCGCACCAACGCCGAACGCAGCTTGCTCAACAAGAAGAGGGTCATCAAGATGTTGTTTGCGGTGGTTTTAGAGTTCTTTATTTGTTGGACGCCGCTGTATATCATCAACACCATCGTTCTTTTCGAGCCGTCGATTATATATAATAATTTGGGGTACAAAGCAATCACGTTTTTGCAGCTGTTGGCGTATTGTTCCAGTTGCTGCAATCCGATCACTTATTGTTTCATGAATTGTGGCTTCAGGAAGTCGTTTCTTAATTTGTTCAAGTGCTTGAAGAAGTCGAGGAATTTTGGGGTCAACGGGAGCGAGATTAACATGGAGACGAAGTGGACGACGAGGTGCTCGGAGAATGTGGAGTTTATCAGATAGATGAGATTATTGAGTTTAGTGTAAATTTATTTAATAAAGACTATTATCGTGACTTTTTTATTGCGGTTTGTTGTTCCACCGTTTTAGTTGTTTACGTTTAACACTTAAATGTTGAATTTAGCCTTCGTTGAAATTCCCTTTTATAGTTTTGTTTTATGCATCGTCCTTATTTTTGTAATTTACCACTTGCCCTTCTAAACTAGAAATTTTTGCTTTCAAAACATTAACATCTTTTTCAGCACCCCGCACTATTTATAGATTAAAAAAACTTAACTCCAAATCGAATTGGTCCGGAACAATTAATCATTTATGTTTTTTGATTCAGCTCATGGAGATCTAAATCCCAAAATTTTTTTAGTATTTTTGGGCAACTTTTCGAAAATCTCAAATTTCATATTTTCACTGTATGAATTTTTGACTTTTTGAATATTATCGAAAGACCATTTCTTGTTGTTTTCGACTTACAAAATTTATTTTCAGCTTCATTTCTTGGAAAATTCCAACAATTTTTTCCGAATCGACAAGAAAGGATTTTCGATGTCAAAAAAAATCATTTCCAAGTCGGATTTTTGGAAATTTTTGGTTCAGAACGAATTACACTTTTTAGATTTTTTAAATCAGCGCGTCGAAATTGGAGTTTTTTTCAGAATTTTTAAGCAATTTTTCATTATATGATTTTTTTAATAGTTTCTTTAGTTTAGTTCTTTAGTTTCGAAAATTATCAAAAGACACTTTTTAGTAGATTTGGACCCATAGAATTTATTTTTATCTTCATTTCTTCGAAAAGTCCAACAATTTTTCAAAAATCGATGTGTTAAAAAATGGTAATTTTCTAGATTAAAAAAACTTAACTCCAAGTCGAATTTTTATGAAATTTTCGTCCGGAAAAATTAACCATTCATGTTTTTTGATTCAGCTCGTGGAGCTCTAAATCCCAAAATTTTTTGACTATTTTTGGGTAACTTTTCTTCGAAAATCTTAAATTGTAAATATAGATGAATTTTTTACCGTTCTGGTAGATTTCGACTTGTAGAATTTATTTTCGGCTTCATTTTCTTCGAAAATTCCATATGATAAAAAATATCATCTTCGAAACAAAAAATCCTTTCCAAACTGAATTCTTAGAAAATTTTGGTCCGGATCAATTCCCACTTTCTTTTTGCTAATTAGCTGGTGGAGTTCTATATCCTAGAATTTTTTGAGGATTTTTAGGCAACTTTTTAAAAATCTCAGTTTTTCAGTGTATGAATTATCGACCGTTTTTCCAAAATCATCGAAAGACCATTTCTTGTATATTTCGACTTGCGAAATTTATTTTCGGCTCCATTTTCTCCAAAATCCCAACCATGTTTTCAGAATCAATGTGATAAAAAAAAATAATTCTGAAGATAAAAACAAAATCGTTTCCAACCTGAATTTTTAGAAAATTTTGATCCGGAACATTTAACACTTTGTTTTTCAAATCAGCTCGTGAAGATTTGTATTTTTTCAGAATTTTTGAGTAACTTTTCACAAAATTTCAAATATTCACTGTATGAATTTTTGACGTTTTTTCGAAAACTATCGAAAGACCATTTCTTGTAGTTTTCGACTTACAAATTTTATTTTCAGCTTCATTTCTTGCAAAATTCCACCATTTTTTTCCCAATCGATAAGAAAGGGTTTTCGAGATCAAAAAAAATAATTTCCAAGTCGAATTTTTGGAAATTTTTGGTTCAGAACGAATTACACTTTATATATATTTTTTAAATCAGCGCGTCGAAATTGGAGTTTTTTGAGAACTTTTAAGCAATTTTTCATTGTATGATTTTTTAACAGTTTCTTTAGTTTAGTTCTTTAGTTTCGGAAATTATCTAAAGACACTTTTTAGTAGATTTGGACCCATAGAATTTATTTTCATCTTCATTTTTTCGAAAAGTCCAACAATTTTTCAAAAATAGATGTGTTAAAAAATGGTAATTTTCTACATTAAAAAAACTTAACTCCAAATCGAATTTTTATGAAATTTTGGTCCGGAACAATTAACCATTCATGTTTTTTGATTCAGCTCGTGGAGCTCTAAATCCCTAATTTTTTTGAGTATTTTTGGGTAACTTTTCGAAAATCTAAAATTGTAAATATATATGAATTTTTTACCGTCTTTGGGCACCATTCAAAAATTAAAAACATTTTCTGGCAGATTTCGACTTGTACAATTTATTTTCGGCTTCATTTTCTTCGAAAATTCCATATGATAAAAAAATATCATCTTCGAAACAAAAAATCATTTCCAAACTGAATTCTTAGAAAATTTTGGTCCGGATCTATACACACTTTTTTTCGAATTAGCTGGTGGAGTTCTATATCCTAGAATTTTTTGAGGATTTTTAGGTAACTTTTTAAAAATCTCAGTTTTTCAGTGTATGAATTTTTGCCGTTTTTCCAAAATCATCGAAAGACTATTTCTTGTATATTTAGACTTGCGAAATTTATTTTCGGCTCCATTTTCTCCAAAATCCGAACCATGTTTTTAGAATCAATATGATAAAAATATAATTCTCAAGATAAAAACAAAATCGTTTCCAACGTGAATTTTTAGAAAATTTTGATCCGAAACATTTAACACTTTGTTTTTAAAAATCAGCTCGTGGAGATTTGTATTTTTTCAGAATTTTTGGGTAACTTTTCACAAAATTTCAAATTTTCACTGTATGAATTTTTGACGTTTTATTAGCATTTTTCGAAAATTATCGAAAAAAAAATCATTTCCAAGTCGAATTTTTGGAAATTTTTTATTTAGAACGAATTACACTTTATATATTTTTTTCAATTTTTAGATACTTTAGTTTTAATCGATTTTTCAATTTTTCATGCCTTCATTTTTTCTAGTTTTCAATTTTTAGATTTTTCAATTTATAATTTAGCTCTTAAATTTTTCAAGTTCTCAATTTTTTGCTGTTTCATTTTCCCAGATTCTAATTTTTAAATTGTGAACAAAAAGAACAAATTTGTTACAACTGAAATTTTCACGATTTTACAGTTTTTGGATTTTTCAATTTCTATATTTAAATTTTTCTTAACTAATTAACTTTTAAAGCCTTTCACTGCGTTTATTTATACTGTGTTGACTGAGCATGTTTTTAAATAACACCCGATTTGGAAATTTTCGAATTTTTTTTAAGTGTTTAAAATTTTCGATTTAGATTTAAAAATTTTTCGCTTTCAAGTTTTCTAGTTTTCAATTTTTCGAGCATGCAAATTTTCGTTCCTACAGTTTTTCGTTCCGCAGTTTTTCGTTTCCTGGATTTTTCGATTTTTCAATTTGTAGATATTTTGATTTTTCTTTATTTGAATTAAACGATTATTCAAATTTTCAGTCTCCAATTTTTTGATTTGCAGTTTTTCTACTTTTCAATTTTTAGCTTTTAAATAATCAAGTTCTCGTTTTGAATTTTTAAATTTTTGACAAAGAAAAAACGAGTTTATACGAACCGAAATTTTGAAAAATTATAAAGCAGGAATTTTTTTCATGTTGCTCCTGTGTTTTCGATGTGTTCTTTCGAAAAATGGAAAAATCAAAAATAAAAAATCTAAAAATAATGAATTTGGAAAGAGTTTGGAGAGAGAAGAAACTGCAAAACGAGAAATTGAAAAACCGACAAATTCAAAAATAGAAAAGTTGATGGATCTGGAATTTGCAAATCTCAAAGATGAAGTAACAAACAATTAAAAATACGCACAATTAATGTGGAAACTCCAAAAATTGAAATCAGAATACTGGAGAAATAAAAAATAAAAAATCAGGGAAAGAAAATTCGAAAAACTGTAAAAACGAAAAAAGTAAAATCGAAAAATCGGTTATTTCGAAAATATAAAAAAAACATTTTTTTGTTCAGAAATATATCGGTCAGAATTAATAAAAATATTAATAGAGCGCAAATTCAGTGCTGAGGCATTGCCTCTTCTCCCTCATAAAACAAACCTTTATTTTCTTGGAAGGTATGTGATTTGCCAAAATCAGTCTTATCTTAGCAAGTACTAGCCCCACCCACCCACCCTCTATTTTCTTGGAAGGTATGTGATTTGCCAAAATCAGTCCTATCTAAGCAAGTACTAGCCCCACCCACCCGGCCTTTATTTTCTCAGAGGGTACTACTTGCTAGTACTTGCTAATATAAGTCTTATTTTGGCAAATCACATACATTCCAAGAAAATAAAGGGCGGGTGGGCGGGGCTAGTACTTGCTAAGATAAGACCGATTTTGGCAAATCACATACCTTCCAAGAAAATAGAGGGTGGGTGGGTGGGTGTAGTACTTGCTAAGATAAGACTGATTTTGGCAAATGCCATATCCTCTGAAAAAATAGAGGGTGGGTGGGCGGGGCTAGCACTAAGAAAAAACTTATTTTGCTCCTCTTAAACTTGTAAAAACTTGTTAAATTTACAAGGTGACGTGTTAAATTCCTAAATCTGATTGGATGTTTCTTTTTTAACAACTCAGTTATTGATTTTTTTGAGTCACCTTGTTTAAGCAAATCTACAAAATATGAATGCAATGACAACTCACAAGTCGAAACTCATGATATTTTGCATATTTCGGGTAGATTTAGGAATTTAACTCGTTACTATGGAAATTCGTAATATGACACCTTTAAATTATTTCACAAGTTTTTACAAGATTAATGCAGGCAAAATCAGTTTTATCTTAACAAGTACTTGGCCCGCCCACCAGCCCCCTATTTTCTCAGAAGATATATCATGTGCGGAAATAAGTCTTTTTTCGAAAATTATCGAAAGACCATTTCTTGTAGTTTTCGACTTACAAATTTTATTTTCAGCTTCATTTCTTGGAAAATTCCAACAATTTTCTCCGAATCGATAAGAAAGGGATTTCGAGATCAAAAAAATCATTTTTAAGTCGAATTTTTGGAAATTTTTGGTTCAGAACGAATTACACTTTATATATATTTTTTAAATTAGCGCGTCGAAATTGGAGTTTTTTCAGAATTTTTAAGCAATTTTTCATTGCATGATTTTTTTAATAGTTTCTTTAGTTTAGTTCTTTATTTTCGAAAATTATCTAAACACACTTTTTAGTAGATTTGGACCCATAGAATTTATTTTCATCTTCATTTCTTCGAAAAGTCCAACAATTTTTCCAAAATCGATGTGTTAAAAAATGGTAATTTTCTAGATTAAAAAAACTTAACTCCAAATCGAATTTTTATGAAATTTTGATCCGTAATAATTAACCATTCATGTTTTTTGATTCAGCTCGTGGAGCTCTAAATCCCAAAATTTTTTGAGTATTTTTAGGTAACTTTTCGAAAATCTCAAATTGTAAATATATATGAATTTTTTACCGTCTTTGGGCACCATTCAGAAATTAAAAACTTTTTGTGGCAGATTTCGACTTGTGGAATTTATTTTCGGCTTCATTTTCTTCGAAAATTCCATATGATAAAAAATATCATCTTCGAAACAAAAAATCATTTCCAAACTGAGTTCTTAGAAAATTTTTGTCCGGATCAATTCACACTTTCTTTTTTCGAATTAGCTGGTGGAGTTCTATATCCTAGAATTTCTTGAGGATTTATATGCAACTTTTTAAAAATCTCAGTTTTCAGTGTATGAATTTTTGGCGTTTTTCCAAAATTATCGAAAGACCATTTCTTGTATATTTCGACTTGCGAAATTTATTTTCGGCTCCATTTTCTCCAAAATCCCAACCATGTTTTCAGAATCAATACGATAAAAATATAATTCTCGAAATAAAACAAAATCGTTTCCAACGTGAATTTTTAGAAAATTTTGATCCGGAACATTTAAACACTTTGTTTTTCAAATCAGCTTGTGGAGATTTGTATTTTTTCAGAATTTTTGGGTAACTTTTCACAAAATTTCAAATTTTCACTGTATGAATTTTTGACGTTTTTTAGCACTTTTCAAAAATTATCAAAAGACCATTTCTTGTCGTTTTCGACTTACAAAATTTATTTTCAGCTTCATTTCTTGGAAAATTCCAACAATTTTTTCCGAATCGATAAGAAAGGGTTTTCGAGATCAAAAAAAATCATTTCCAAGTCGAATTTTTGGAAATTTTTGGTTTAGAACGAATTACACTTTATACATTTTTTTCAATTTTAAATACTTTAGTTTTTAATCGATTTTTCAGTTTTTCATGTCTTCATTTTTTCTAGTTTTCAATTTTTAGATTTTTCAATTTATAATTTGGCTCTTAAATTTTTCAAATTTGTTACAACTGAAATTTTCACAATATTGCAATTTTTGGATTTTTCAGTTTCTATATTTAAGTTTTTCTTAACTAATTAATTTTTAAAGCCTTTCACTGCGTTTATTTATACTGCGTTGACTGAGCATGTTTTTACATAATACCCCATTTGGAAATTTTCGAATTTGTTTTAAGTGTTTAAAATTTTCGATTTAGAATTATTCAATTCTACGTTTTTTCATTTTACAATTTTTCGCTTTCAAGTTTTCTACTTTTCAATTTTTCGATCATGCAAATTTTCGTTCCTACAGTTTTTCGTTCCGCAGTTTTTCGTTTCCTGGATTTTTCGATTTTTCATTTGTAGATATTTTGATTTTTTTTTATTTGAATTAATCGATTTGCATGTCTCCAATTTGTTGATTTGCAGTTTTTCTAGTTTTCAATTTTTAGCTTTTAAATAATCAAGCTCTCGTTTATGAATTTTTAAATTTTTGGCAAAGAAAAAACTAGTTTATTCGAACCGAAATTTTGAAAGATTATAAAGCAGGATTTTTTTTTATGTTGCTTCTGTGTTTTCGATGTGTTCTTTCGAAAATGGAAACATCCAAAATAAAAAAATCTAAAAGTAATAAATTTAGAAAGAGTTAATCTCCCTCATAGAACAAACCGCCCCTGTCACATGGTAATTTCTCGTAGAAAAATAAGGATTTTATAATTAAGCTCCGCCCCTCGGCTTATGACGAATAAAAAAAATCATCGGAGTTGGGATAGGGCGGGTGGGCGGGGCCTATGTATATATTAACAAGACAAAAAAAAAGCAAAACATAAGAACATTTTTACCCATTTTCGACCATTTTCAAAAATTACCTGAACACATTTTTTAGCACATTTGGACCTCTAGAAGTCACTTCGGGTTTCGATTCTTCGCTACCTGCTACCATTTGTTTCGAATCTCCCATTGAAATATACCAATTTTGTACATAACGTACTGAAGAGTTAATCGGACATTTTTCAGACACCCGGTATAGTAAAATATTTTTGCATGATGCAATTTTTACTAGTGACAACGAAACTGCTGATTAATAAAAGATTCAAATCAGTTTAAATTTGTAGATATTTTTTTTTAATTTTTAAAATAACGGCTGTCATAGGCTGTCATTTCCTTCTGTCAAAAATTGAGGTTATGGTTCCGAATGTTTTCTCAAAATCGTGATTTAAAACGTAGTGATTGTCCAATTTTGGCAATAATAATTGCCATTAAAGCTTAAAAACACGAATAAACCGTTTGTTGTCTCATCTTGTATACAAAACTGTCATTACGAATTTGAAACTAATTAGAGGTTATGTTTACCCAAACAAATTTCCTCGTTATTTCGGGTTTAGATTAACAAAGCGACCCAAGTATTAAAAATCTTGAAACCAATATTCGAACTTTGGCAGTTTTCTACTAATACAATCCAATTACAAAATGCGGAAAATTTGTAGGTTATGTTTGGCGGAAGCCCCCATAGCACACTCACTGCTGAACAGTAAATATGCACAGATGTTACAAGCGCTCACGTCTATCACCGTAAGTGATTCCACTTTACTAAACCCCCACTAATTTTTAGTTTGTAGCTGGAAGTTGATGAGGAAATAAATTCAATGTGCCTCAAATGTAGCCTAAACTTGAAGCTAGCATACACAATCCAACAAAAAATACTGAGGGCTCACGAAAAGCTAAAAAAGTCCCGTCTTGATGATACGACCATTCACAAATTTGAAGCAACTGAAACCACTCCAAGTCCAGTGCAAATCAAGCAAGAAAACCGCGACGAAATCACAACCAAATGCATAATTTGTAGCACAGTTGTGAAAAATGAGTGTCTTTCGTCACACGTGGAGAGCCACTTCAACGACAAGCAATTCTGTGACTTATGTAAAGAGAATTTCACCAATCTTGACTCATATCGTTCCCATTTACAAAAACACCCTGAACTCTCTCTTTATAAATGTAAAAAATGCAACCTGACGTTCCGCTACCACTCCCTATACACCATCCACGTGAAAGCCGCCCACACACCACCCCCAACGAAAATCAAAAAACGCCCAAGTGACAGACTCGCCAAACAACTAGACAAACTCCACAAAAAAGGAATCGGGAGCGAACTCGCCAAAAAACTGCTCTCCATATCCACCGAAGCCGCGTCAAATTTCCCCCTTCAACCACCACAACTCCAAACTTTCGTTTGCGACTTCTGCGACCGCCAATTCCCCGATAAAAACAAGCTAAGACACCACAAATCCGGCCACTTCCGGCGCGAGTGCCCCACGTGTCATAAACACATCACCCTCCCGAACTTCTCCAACCACGTGAGGAACCACGACAGCGGCCCCCAGGTGTGCGAGCAGTGCGGCAAGACCTACGACAGCGTGGAGAAGCTCCGCGGCCACGTTTTCTACCAACACAGCAAAAAGAAGTACGAATGCGAGGAGTGCAAGGTCACGTTCAAGAACCGCCACGGCCTCGGCACCCATCGGAAGCGCGAACACAACGGCAGCGGCCACATCTGCGAGACCTGCGGTCGGAAATTTTTGTTCGCCTATTGGCTGAAAAAGCACATCCAGTCCACCCACATGAAGATGAGGCCCCACATCTGCGAGTTTTGTCAGCGGGCGTTTTCGGGGAGGAACGCGCTTCTCACACACAGGAGGCAACACACGATGGAGACCCCGTATAAGTGCGAGGTTTGCGGGGAGGGGTTCAGGCAGAACGTGTCCTTGAAGGCGCACAGGAAGAGCAAGCACAATATCGTGGAGGCGGTGACTTGTAAGTGTGAGGTTTGTGGGAAGGGGTTTGCGTCGGAGCACGCGGTCAAGGCCCATATGAAATGTCACTGATTTTTTTTGTATATATTTACACGTAAATACATGTTAAGACAAGTTAAATATAATTTATACAGAAAATAAATTAGTTCTTTGGTAAAAAAATAACAAGTATGAAGTGGGAATAAATTAATACTGCTGTAGTACAGTCTGTAAAAAATTGAAGATGTGGGTCGCGTGCGGGTGGTCGGCGGCGGCTCGCGGAGCGAGCGCGCCGTGCTCCACACGCGTTTAAAATCACTAAAATCAACACTGGCCTACTCTGATGGTTACAGATAGGACAACGAAAGCTTATCACAAAGAAATACAAGTTTGCGTCTAACTACTAAGTCGTACATGACAATGTACACCTCGTCACATTTATTTACATTATCTAGTGCCTTAAGAGATGACTTACCTTGATAGAAAAAGACAGCCATAGATCAGTAAGTCTTTTGTTTTTGGTTTATGATTACGACGAAAACCCCATAAATCAATCTAAAAATATGTACCTCTATTAGAAATGATGTGTGTTGCGTTAACTGATCTCCGGAAACGCGGCGTCCATTACAACCTCAAAAATTTCCTTAAAAAAAAAACAAGTTATTTTGATCTTCACCTAAGGTCGATTTATAAACTTGCCGCTGGCGTTGCTGTTTACCGTTTATATCATAGATTAATAGGGTGGGTGGGCGGGCTAGAACCTGCTAAGTTAAGACTGATTTTGGTAAATGAGAATGATTCAATAAATCGAGAACTCGAGAAATAAAAAAAATCGAAAATTTAAAAAAAACTGAAAAGTCTAAACATTACAGAATGCCATTGTAAAATCGAAAAATCAGAAATCGAAAAGCACAAAGATTGAAAATTCGAAAAATGAAAAATTGAAAAACGAAATTTCGCAAACTTTTTCCCGATTTTTGAATTTTTGGATTTCCAGTTTTTAGATTTTTCAATTTTACAGCTTTGCAATTTTTGACATTTTTTGATTCGAAAAGTACAATAACGAAAAATTAAAGATCAAAAAACTAGAAAATCTGAAAAAATAGAAAAATCGAAATGCTGCAGAAACGAAAAATGGAAAAATTCTAAAATCGTAAAATTAAAAAAGTAAAAAAAAAATTATAATTATTATTAAGCACATTTAAAATGAATTGGAAACAAATTTGTCAAAACGAAACAAAAAAATCGAAGAATTGAAGAAAGGAAAAATCGAAAACATTGAAAATGAAAAAACATGAAAAATCAAAAAATTGTAAAAATAAATGAAAGATTCGAGAATTTGAAGAAACAAGAAAAATGCAAAAATTCAAATAGAAAAACTGAGGTAACAAAAATTAAAAAAATTAAAATTGAAAAAACAAATATTATAAAATCGAAATACGAAAAATCGAATATTTGAAAAAATTCATAAAATAAAGAAATCCAAAAATCTGCAAAGTCGTAAAATTTGTGAAAACGAAACATTGAAAAATAGATTAATTGAAAATATAAAGGAAAAAAATACAAAAATTGAACGAGAAATCGAAAAGTGATGAAGTCGAAAAATAGAGAAAACGACAAACAAAAAGTTAAAAGTTGAAGAACTGGAAAAGCGGAAAAATCAAAAAACGAAAAAATGGAAAACTGGAAAAACTGAGAAACCGAATAGGCCAAAATAAAAAATTGAAAAACTGATAAATCGAAAACCTGAACAATCAAATCTCGATAAATCGAGAATGAAAAATTAAGAAATCGAAAAATTGAAAAGCAGAAAGTCGAAAAATCGGAAGATTAAGAAATATTGAAAAATTAAAATATCAAAAGATTGAAAAATCTAAAATTTAAAAATCCAAAAATTGAAAAATCGAAAAAGTAAAAAGGTAGAGACATCGAAAAATCCAGAAGTCAAAAATAGAAAAGCCCAAGAATTGAAATATTGAAAAATCCTAAAAACTGAAAAATCGAAAAATCAAAAACCTGAAAAATCAAAAAATTAAAGAATTGAACAGGAAAATCGAAACACTCGAAGGTCAAGAAATGGGAAAATCAAAACATCGATTAATTGAAAAATCGAAAAATTGAGTTTATAATAGTCAAATTTGAAAAATTAAAAATCGAAAATTTGACAAAATGACAATTGAAAAACAGAAAATCTAAAACTGGAAAGTCGAAAAATCAAAAGATTAGGAAATCGAAACATTTGAAAAATTCGAAAACTTGGAAAAAATTGAAATATCGAAGAACTGAAATGAAAAATCGAGAAATCGAACGTCGAGAAGTTGGAGACTCGGAATACGTACTGAAAAATTCCAGAATTGAAATATCGAAAAATCGGGGAATTGAAAATTTGTAAAATAGAGAAATCGAAAAGTCAAAAATCGAAGTTAAAAGTCGGAAAATTGAAAATTCCAAAAATCTAAAAAAGTACAAAATCGAGAAATCCACAAGTCGAAAAGTGGAAAAATACAAAAATTGAAGAATTGAAATACTGAAAAATCGTAGAACTGAAATATTGACAAATCGAAAAAGTAAAAAATGGAGAAATCCCAAAAATCGAAAAATTGAAAAATTCAGAACTCGAAAAATCTATAATCACTGTGTTTAGGGTATTTAGGTGTAAAATTTTAAAAATCGAAAATGTAAGATATCAAAAAAGTTGAAGATTCTCAAATGTAATAATCTAAAAATGGGAAAATCAAAAAAAAAAACGAAAAACCGAAAAATTGACGAATCGAAATATTTGAAAAATTGAAATACTGAAAAATCGTAAAACTGAAAAATCGAAAAATTAAAACATCAAAAAAACGAAAAATTGGAAAACCTAAAATTTAAATTTCGAAAAACTGAAGAATATAAAATTTAAAATTCGAAAAATGGAAATATCAAAAGGTAAAAAATTGAGAATTGGAAAAGTCAAAAATTGAAGAATCGAAATATTGAAAAATTTCAGACTTGAAATATCGAAAAATCGAGAAATAGAAAAGTCAAAAATCGAAGTTAAAAGTCGGAAAATCTAAAAAAGTACAAAATCGAGAAATCGGCAAATCGAAAAGTCGAAAAATACAAAAATTGAAGAATTGAAATACTGAAAAATCGTATAATTGAAATATTGAAAAATCGAAAAAGAAAAAAATGGAGAAATCCCAAAAATCGAAAAATTGAAAAATTCAGAACTCAAAAAATCTATAATCAGTGTGTTGTCTTTAGGGGTAAAATTTTAAAAATTGAAAAACCGAAAAATTGACGAATCGAAATATTTGAAAAACTTCAAAACTGAAATATCGAAAAATAGAAGAAAGATGAAGAACCGAAACATTGAAATATTGAAAAATCGGCAAATCGAAAATTTGAAAAATTGAAATACTGAAAAATCGTAAAACTGGAAAACCAAAAATTTAAAATTCGAAAAACCGAAGAATATAAAATTTAAAAATCGAAAAGTGGAAAAATCAAAAAGTAAAAAATTGAGAATTGGAAAAGTCAAAAAATTGACGAATCGAAATATTGAAATATCCCAAAACTGAAATATCGAAAAATTGAGCAATCGAAAAATCCAAAAAGTAAAGCCGAAAAATCGAAACCTTAAAAAACTAAAAAATGAAAAATCAAAAACCTGCAAAATCGAAAAATTAAAGAATTGAAGAACAGGAATATCGAAACCCCCGAAAGTCAAGAAATGGGAAAATCAAAACATCGATTAATTGAAAAATCGAAAATTTGAAAAAACGACAGTTGAAAAACAGAAAATCCAAAACCGGGAAGTCGAAAAATCTATAGATTAACAAATCAAAACATTTGAAAAATTCTAAAACTTGAAAAACTGAAATATCGAAGAACTGAAATGAAAAATCGAGAAATCTAAAAATCTAAAATTTAAAATATTTAAAATACCAAAAAATTGAGAAATCTAAAATTTAAAAATCGAAAAAGCCGAAGAACAGAAATATTGAAAAATCCCAAAACTGAAATATCGAAAAACTGAAAAATGAAGGAAAAACTGAAATATCCAAAAACTGAGAATCTAAAAAATCGAAAAATCAAAAAAAGTGAAGTCGAAATATCGAAATCTTAAAAAAATCGAAAAATTGAAAAATGAAAAACCTGCAAAATCGTAAGATTGAAAAATTGAATAACAAGTAAACTGAAAAATCCCAAAACTGAAATGTCCAAAAACTGAGAAATTAAAAAATTGAAAAATTGAGAAATCGAAAAATCAAAAAAGTGATGTTGAAAAATCGAAACCTGAAAAAATAGAAAAATTGAAAAACCAAAAAACCTGAAAAATTAATTAATTGAAAAATCGACAAATAAACAGTTTATAAAAGTCAAAAATTGAAAAATCGAAATATTTAAAAATCGTAAAATTGAAGAGAAAAACTGAAAACCGAGAAATTGAAAAATTGAGAAATTGTAAAATCCAAAAATTGAGGAGTAAACTGAAAAGTCCCCAAACTAAAATTTCGAAAAAATGAGATTTCGAGACTTCGTTCATTTTCATAACTTACAAGGGTTATCATATAAAATAAATTGCAAAATCAAATTTTATAATTTTTCGAAAAAACTGGATTCATTTACCTGATCAATTTTTTTGATATCACAATTTTTGGTTTTTTCATTGTCTTTAATTTTTTCAATTTTTTAATTTCTCCACTTTCAAATGTTTTCAATTTTTCGTTTCTTCTTTTTGTCGATTTGGAATTTTCAATGTTACAATTTTTAATTTCTCGTTTTTCCATTACAATTTTTCGTTTATTCAATTTTTCAAATTTTCAGTCTTTAAATGTTCAGTTGGTTGTTTTTCCAATTTTTAAAATTTTAAATTTTGCAATTCTTGAATTTCCACTTATGCGATTTTCCGTTTTCTCTAATTTTCAACATTGCATTTCTTCGATTTTGCACTTATTCGATTTTTAAGTTTCTTAATTTTTAATCTAAAGTAAAAAGTCGACACATCGAAAAATCCAGAAGTCAAAAATGGAAAAGTCGAAGAACAAAAATATTCAAAAATCCAAAAACTGAGAATCTAAAAAATTGAAAAACTGAGAAATCGAAACCTGAAAAAATAGAAAAATTGAAAAACCAAAAAACCTGAAAAATCGACAAATAAAGAGTTTATGAAAGTCAAAAATTGAAAAATCGAAATATTTAAAAATCGTAAAATTGACGAAAAAAACTGAAAACATGTGTAAAATGGTAAATTTTTGTAGCAATCAACTTAAATCCTAAATTTTCAACGGGAACAGCAACTGCAACGGCACGTTTATAAATCCCACTTTAGTTTTGTTCACGTGCTAACGATCCACCACACATTAAAAAAAACGAGTTGTAAACGGACCTACTTTTTCCAACTCTAGACAACACGAAAAGTCATTGGTGGATCTTTACCACGACTACCACTCACGTAAAGCAACTGCTTATTCATATTCTTCTCCTGGAATGCATCGAAGACCTTCTTCGCGCCGTTTTTGGCGGCGGTCGCCCCCACCAGCGTCGTCACCAACTCTGGTACGTTGCTCACGAACAAAACCTGCGCTTGTCTCATCGTTCGGATCTTCTCGTCGACCGTTCGCGTCGCTCCGGGACTCGCCAACGTCCCCCCCGGCCAGAAATTCTTCAAAATCAGCGTTATGTAATAATGCAGCATCTGCTCGGAGAACCACCACGAAATGGTCTCGTGGATTTGCCGATTGATGTTCCGCCCGTACGTCACCTGGACGAACCCAATCAGCGTCTTCCGGAGGTACTTGAACACGCCCCTCATGTCGAAAAGCTCGCCCAGGAGGCCGTACAGCGGCTCGGCGATCGTGTCCTTCTCGTCGTGGAACTTCCCATGGTGCCCGTTGATCTTGACGAAGTCCACCGTGTCGGCCGAAACGGGGGCGTCCAAGCACTGCGATATGTCTTCTTCTTCGCTTTCTTTAATTGACATGCTGTCTTTGCTTTGCTCGCTGCCGCTACATGAATAATAATAATAGTAACAATAGTTTACACCACTATCTTACCTTTTGAATAAGGTGGAGAACGAAAAGCGCGACTTCTTCGGACTGGGCGTGGAATGCTTCAAGTGGTCGGAGCTAGGGCTGAGGAACGAATACACCGCCTCGCTTTGATTGAGCCTGTCGTCGGTCAAGATAAACTGCAACAACCAATGAAAGCGAGCTGCAATGCAAGCCCCGCCTACTCACGTCTAAGTACTTCTGGATTTGTTGTTTCGCTTTTTCGAGTGACGCCCTGTCGCTTTTGCCGAACAGGAACTTGAAGGTGTTGGACGGGAGTTCGAGGGCGCGGATTTCGGAGCACAAGGGGCGGAGCTTGCGGTGGAGCTCCTGGAATTGGGTCAAGCTACGACAGACGACCCATCCGGTGCTGATGCTTTCTTCGCCGTCGATTTGGTCCTCGGCCATTTGTACCACGAGCACGAACTGAAGAGGTTCGCGCTCGTCGGGGACTTCCGCCGACTGGACCACGGTGCGCCACTTACCCAAGTTCTCGCCCCAGACCTCGGTGCGCGTTAAGTGGGCTTCGAGCTGGCGGCGCTCTCCCTGTAGCCACTCGACCTCCTTTTCCAACTTACTCAGGACTTTGGATTCGGGACGTAGTGAAGTCCTGAGGGCTTGAAGCGCCTGAGAAATACACCAAAAGTTCGTGGTTGAAACTAGTCTAAACTCGAATTTACTTGTGTTTTATTGTTGAGTCGCTCCTCCAGCTGGTCCAGCTTTTGTTTGGCGTAGTTGGAGTGGTCGCCTACGTTTAAATTTGTACTGTCGACGCTCGAGAAGGAGTCTCCGGATAATTGGCGCTCCTCCAGCGACCGGTCGATGTCGGATATGTCGTCTTCTTTCTCCATAGCGGCCACCATCTCCTTGTAGTAGTCGCTGATTAAAAACGGCTGATAATACTTATCTTCTAGGGTTTGTACAACCTGAGACTGTACTTCGTAGAATACTTCTGGTCCCTTGTCACCTAGCAAAAAAGCTTCCATTCTCTTCCGCGTGCTCTTATCCACTTTAATCTCCGACGTCGGGTTTCTTATAAAAGTATAAAAAATTTCCGCCCCCAACTGGTGCCAGTTTTTTCTCACAGCCGTGCGCAACTCCTCCACCGCCGTCCAGTACCTCACCAAGTCCTGGCTGGCCAACGTATCCAGAAACTGCGACAAGTACTTCCGCCCCAGCACGTGCTCCAAAATCGACGCAATCGGCAACGTCTTCTTGAAATCGTCGGCGAACTGATACCCCAGCTCCCACCCGAGACTGGCCAACCGCTTCTCGCACTCCTTCTTCGCCACGGTCAACTGATTTATATACTTCCGGAGTTTTTTTGCCGCGTTGATGTCCGATTTGTTCACTCCGGCGGACGCCAGGACGCTCTTTTCGTTATCCAAATCTACGCCTTTGGAGCGGTTCAAGTTCTGGAGCGTCGTGGCCTGCATCAACTTCGTCACCAAACTGTATCTGATGGATTTGAGGGCGTCGATGTCGTCGGTTTTCGCTATTATTTTCAGGATGTCTTCGAAGCTCTTCGCGTACTCGAAAGCTTTGACGTGCACGTTGGCGGCGATTTTTTGCGCTTCGATGTAGTAGATTATATGGAGGTTGAAGAAGTCGGGGTCGGTGACGGTGTCGATGAATGGCTTAAACACTGTAGGACGTGGTTATTTTTTTATTAAGTGGAAGAGGCGAAGCGGAAGCACGCAAGAAAGGAACAAAATCGAGCAATGAACATTCATATACAGAGTTTTCAAATATAATGTATATATAAATTCAAGTAGCTGCCTTGATAAGTAGTGATTACATTCTTTGAAAAAAAAAAATCGATATGTGTTTATACAAATTATCCATTTTAAACATGTTTTAAGTTTCATGTTGTGAAAAGAAGTCTACACACATTAAAACAAAAAGGCAAAAAGTAAGCCCGCCCACCCACCCTATCTCAATTGTGATTATTTTTTTTTTATTCGCTGTGAACCAAGAGGGCGGAGCTTAACTGCAAACTACTTATTTCTTCACAAGAAATAAAAAACATGTTTTTGAGTATCGTGTTGTTTAAAAATAATAATAATAATAATAATAATAATGTGGCAGTTTATTTTACTGATTAACTCAAGAACAACTTACTCCATTTTCATAACTTACAAGGGTTATCATACAAAATAAATTGCAAAATCAAATTTTATAATTTACTGGATTTATCCTTGACCAATTTTTTGATATCACAATTTTTGTTTTTTTTATTGTCTTTAATTTTTTCAATGTTACAGTTTTTCGATATTACAATTCGAATTCGAGTTTTCAATTTTCAAATTTTCAATCTTTAAATGTTCAGTTGGTTGTTTTTCCAATTTTTAAAATTTTTAATTTTGAAATTCTTCAATTTCCACTTATGCGATTTTCCGTTTTCTCTAATTTTCAATATTGCAGTTCTTCTTCGATTTTGCACTTATTAAATTTTTAAGTTTCTTAATTTTTAATCTTTCGATTTTCTAATTTTTTGTTTCTTCAATTTTTTAAGTTCTTGATTTCGAATTTTTAGAATTTTGTAAGTTTTCGTTTTATACTTTTGCCCTTTTTCATTTTTGATTTTTCAATTTTACAATACGGATCGAAAAATTAGAAAACCCAAAAATGGTAAATAAATTAAAAACATGTTTTTGAGTATCGTGTTTTTTAAAAAAAAAAATTAATGTGGCACTTAATTTTATTTATTAAATTAAGAACAACTTACTCAATTTACAAGGGTTATCATAAAAATAAAATTTGCAAAATCAAATTTTATAATTTTTCGAAAACACTGAAAAACTGGATTTATTTGCCTTTGACCAATTTTTGGTTTTTTCATTGTCTTTAATTTTTTCAATTTTTTCATTTTTCAATGTTTTTCAATTTCAGAATTTTTCGATCTTTCAACTTTAATTTTTTCAATTTCTCAACTTTCAAATGTTTTCAATTTTTCGTTTCTTCTTTTTGTCGATTTGGAATTTTTCAATGATACAATTTTTCGATATTACAATTCGAATTGGTTGTTTTTCCAATTTTTAAAATTTTAAATTTTGCAATTCTACAATTTCCACTAATGCGATTTTCCGTTGTCTCTAATTTTCAATATTTCGGATCTACAACATTTATGGAAAATAAACCGATTATTATTATTACCATTATTGTTATTATTTCTTCGATTTTGCACTTATTCGATTTTTAGTTTCTTAATTTGTAATGTTTCGATTTTCCAATTTTTTAAGTTCTTGACTTCGAATTTTTAGAATTTTGTAAGTTCTCCTTTTATACTTTTGCTTTTTTTCATTTTTGATTTTTCAATTGTACAAAAATCGATAAATTTCAGATCGAAGAACTGAAGAAACGAAAAATTGAAACATTGAAAAGAACATTGAAAAGCTAAAAATCGAGAAACTTAACAGTAGAAAAAAAATGTTTCGGAAAATTAGAAAAAAGAAAAAACGAATCGGATCGAAAAATTAGAAAACACAAAAATTGTGAAATCGAAAAATTATTGAATCGTCAAAACTGCATAGCCAAAAAATTGGAATATTGACACATCGAAAAATTGAAAAATTAAAAATCGAAAACCTGAAAAGTCGAATAAATGAAAGTCTCAAAATCCAATAATAATAAAAAAATGGTAAACTTCTAAAAACGTAAAATTGAAAAAGTGAAAATGTTAACAATTATTATCATTTTTACATATTTAAAACGAAAACTAGAAATCGCAAATCAAAGAGTCAAGAAACGAAAAATTGAAAATCCAAAACTTGAAGAAACGAAAATTGAAAAAATTGGAATTGTAAAAACAAAACATCATAAAATCGGAACGTTAAAAAATCAAAAAATGAGAAATTGAAAGTTGGAGAAATTTTAAATCGGAAAACTGAATAATTTGAACAGTTGTATATCGTAAAATTGAACAAACAAAGAAACTTAAAACATGTTTAAAATAGTAAATTTGTATAGGGAAATGTCGATTTTGCAATTACGCTCCGCCCCTCGGTCTGACAACGAATGAAATCGTTGAGATCGAGATGGATCGGTGGGGCTTCTATTTTGCTTTTCTTTTTTAATTAATACACACATGTTTCACATGGCAATTGCAAAACTAAATTTATTTAGCTTTAACCAATTTTTTGATTTCACAATTTTTGGTTTTTTCATTGTCTATTTAATTTTTTCAATTTTTTTCATTTTTCAATGTTTTTCAATTTCATAATTTTTCGTTGTTTCAACTTCAATTTTTTCAATTTTTCAATTTCTCGACTTTCAAATGTTTTCAATTTTTCGACATTACAATTCGAATTCGAGTTTCCAGTTTCCCAATTTTTAATTTTTCAATTTTTCAAATATTCAATCTTTAAACGTTCAGTTGATTTTTCCAATTTTTAAAATTTTTAATTTTGCAATTTTTCAATTTCCACTAATGCGCTTTTCCGTTTTCTCTAATTTTCAATATTTCGAATCTACAATATTTCATTTCTGGAAAATAAACCGATTATTATTATTATTATTTCTTCGATTTTGCACTTATTCGATTTTTAAGTTTCTTAATTTTTAATCTTTCGATTTTCCCATTTTTTGTTGCTTCAATTTTTTAAATTCTTGACTTCGAATTTTTAGAATTTTGTAAGTTTTCGTTTTATACTTTTGCCTTTTTTCATTTTTGATTTTTCAATTTTACAAAAATCGAAAAACTTCATATCGAAGAACTGAAGAAACGAAAAATTGAAACATTGAAAAGCTTCAAAATCGAGAAACTTAAAAGTAAAAAATTAGAAAGAAAAAGAAACGAATCGGATCGAAAAATTAGAAAACCCAAAAATTGTAAAATCGAAAAATTACATGAAAAAGTTTCAATAAATGAATGGAAAACTTCTACAAACATAAAATTGGAAAAGTGAGAATTTTAAAAATTATTATCATTCTTACATATTTAAAACGAAAACTGGACATCGCAAATCAAAGAGTCAAAAAACGAAAAATTGAAAAATTGCAAATCCAAAAATTGAAAAAATTGGACTTGTAAAAACAAAACATCATAAAATCCGAACGATAAAAAATCAAAAAATTGTACAAATAAATAAAATAAACATCGAAAACTCGAAATTCTGGAATTTTTAGTCTCGGAATATCCACAATTTTTGAAATCTTTGAAACATTTAGAATCTTCATAATCTCTAGTCTCTCAGTCTTCAAATTTTTTGGATTCTTCAGCCTTTGAAATACTCAGAATCTGCAATCTTCCAAATACTGTGAATCCTCAGAGTTTTCTGAAACTTTGGAGTCTTCAGTATCTTCATTCAAAATCTTCAGAATCTCTAGAATCTTTCAAACCTGTACAATCCCTAGAAATTTTAAAGTCTCGGAATATCAGGAATATTTAAAATTTTTGAAATTTCTAGAACTTCCGAAATATTATAATCTTCGGATTCTTCGAAATCTTCAGTCTTCAATTTTTTGAAATTTTTACCCTTAGAATGTACTCAGAATATTCAGAATCTTCGAAAGCTCAAAGTTTTCGGGTAAATTCAATAAACTTCAACTTCAACTTCAACAAATATTTGAATTTTCAGCATCTTTGAAATCTTCAGAATTTTCAGAATGTTCCAAATCTCCAAAAACTTCAAAATCTTTCGAATCTTTAGAATCTCTGGAATCACTAGAGGCTCGGAATATCCGTAATTTTTGCGAATTTCTGGAATCCTCGAAGTTTGGAGTTTCCGGAATTTTTGAAATTTTTAGAATTTTTGGAATCTTTAGGACTTTCATAGTGTTAGAATCTTCAAAATCTTCAGTTTTCAAATTTTTTGGAATCTTCAATCTTCCAAATACTGTGAATCTTCGGAATCTTCAGAACCTCCAATATATTCATTCAGAATCTTCAGAAGCCCCAGAATCTTTCGAATCTTTACAGTCTCTAAAATTTTTGAAGTTTCGGAATATACTGGATTTTTGGAATTTCTGGACCGTTGACATCATTGAAATATTTAAAATATTAATTAAGTTTTTAAATTTTTTGGAATCTTCAGTCTTTGAAATACCTATTTAAACATTTAGAATCCTCATAATCTCTTGAGTCTTTCGAATCTTCAAAGTCCTCAAATTTTTTGGACTCTTCAGCCTTTGAAATACTCAGAATACTGTGAATCCTCAGAATTTTTGGAAACTTTGGAATCTTCAGTATCTTTATTCAAAATCTTCAGAATCTCTAGATTCTTTCAAACCTTTACAATCCCTAGAAATTTTAAAGTCTCAGAATATCAGGAAAATTTGAAATTTCTAGAACGTCTGAAATATTATAATCTTTAGATTCTTCGAAATCTTCAGTCTTAAAATTTTTTGAAATCTTCAGCCTTCGAATGTACTCAGAATATTCAGAATCTTCGAAACCTCAAAGTTTTCGGGCAAATTCAATAAACTTCAACTTCAGGTTCAACAAATATTTGAATCTTCAGAATTTTCAGAATCTTCAGAATCTCCCAAATCTCCAAAAACTTCAAAATCTTTCGAATCTTTAGAATCTCTGAAGTTTGGATTTATCTGGAATTTTTGAAATTTTTGGAATCTTTAGGACTTTCATAATGTTAGAATCTTCAAAATCTTCAGTTTTCAGATTTTTGGAAACTTCAGCTTTGGAAATACTCAGAATTGTAAGTTTTTTGAAATTTTCAGATCCTTCAGAATCTTAAATTAGAAGTTTCGAACCTTTGGAATCTTCATATTCTTCAGAATTTTCTTAATTTCAAAGTTTTCCGATTTTTTGAAATCTTTAGTCTTCGAAATTTCCAGAATCTTCAGAAACTTTAGAATCTCTAGAATCCCAGAATATACGGAATTGTTGAAATTTCTGAAATCTCTGGAAATTTTGGAGTCTTTATAATTTCGATTCGAAAAATTGCAAAATCGAAAATGTTGAAAATCGAAGAACTGAAGAAACGAAAAATGTAAACATTGAAAAGCTTAAAATCGAGAAACTTAAAAATCAAAAAAAAGTTTCGAAAAATTGGAAAGAAGAAAAAACGAATCGGATCAAAAAATTAGAAAATCCAAAAATTGTAAAATCGAAAAATTATTGAATCGTCAAAACTGCATAGCCAAAAAAACGGAATATTGACACATCGAAAAAATGAAAAATTAAAAATCGAAAAACTGAAAAATCGAATAAATGAAAAAGTCTGAAAATCCAATAATAAAAAAATGGGAAACTTCTAAAAACGTAAAATTAAAAAAGTGAAAATTTTAAAAATTATTATCATTCTTACATATTTAAAACGAAACCTAGAAATCGCAAATCAAAGAGTCAAAAAACGAAAAATAAAAAATTGCAAATCCAAAAATTGACGAAACGAAAAATTGAAAGTTGGAGAAATTTTAAATTGGAAAACTGAATAATTTGAAGAAACAAAGAAAAACCTTTTCACACCAAGAAACTTAAAACATGTTTAAATGATAAATTTGTGTAGGGAAATATCCATTTTGCATTACGCTCCGCCCCTCGGTCTGACAACGAATGAAAAATTCATGATGGGTGGAGCTTCTCTTTTGGTTTTCTTGTATAATTAATACTTTTAGTTTTCCTTGTATGACATAATTACTTAAGAACATGTTTCACATAGTAATTGTTCGTAGAAAAAAAGGATTTTACAATTAAGCTCCGCCCCTCGGTTTACCATGAATAAGAAAAAATCATCAGAATTAAGAGAGGGCGGGTGGGCGGGGCTTATATTTTGCCTTTTTTCTTAATATACATAGCCGTCTTTTCACAACAAAAAATTGAAAACAACATGTTTTAAGTTTCATGTTGTGAAAAAAGTTTACACATATTAAAACAAAAAGGTAAAAAGTAAGCCCGCCCACCCACCCTATCTCAATTGTGATGATTTTTTTATTCGCGGTGAACCAAGAGGGAGGAGCTTAACTGCAAAATACTTATTTCTTTACAAGAAATTAAAAACATGTTTTTGAGTATCGTGTTGTTCAAAGAATACTATGTATTTTAAGACAAAAAGGCAAAATATTAACCCCGCCCACCCACCCCATCTTTATTGTGATGATTTTTTTTATTTTTGGAAACTTAAAACATGTTTAAAATGGTAAAATCTTGTAGACAAATGTGGATCTTGCAATTAAACCCCGCCTACCGATCTTACAACGAATGAAAAATTCATCACAATTGAGAATTGAGATCGGGGCGGGTATGGGTGGGACCTAATCTTTGCTTTTATTTTATTGGAGAAAAATAAGGCTTTTGCAGTTAAGCTCCGCCTCTTTGGCTCACGACGAATAAAAAAATCACTACAATTGAGAGAGGACGGGCAGGCGGGCGGGGCTACAGTTTGCCTTATTTTCTTAATACATGTAATCAACTTAAATCCTCCACTTTTCTTCGACAACCCCTTTAAATGCAGCAAAAATTGAACATCAAGGTTACTGTCAACGGAGTTTATAAATCCCGCTTATTTGACGTAACTGTCAAAATAAACAAAAAATGGGGTGGTGTTACCAACATATTTTTTTTTACACCAAATTTCAAAGATTGCTGGATGCCTTTTTTATTCGATCATATGGTACATTTATATCTTTATTGAACCAGAAATCTTTGGAGACTTTCTTTTTCAAAGAATGTATTAAACAAAAGGCGTAATTAATTTTAGCAGGAGATAAGCCTTGGGTCAAATAATAATTTTTGCCACTATGGTACCCACAAAAGCACACCTACACCTACCTTTACAAGCTAAAATCTCTCGTAGGAAATACTTGGAAGGCGAGAGCGAATAACTGCGCGGCAAAAGAAACATGATGAATAATTCACTAGCAGACCTGATGTACTTCATTTCTTTATCGGATGACATGACGTGCGGCGAAAGCGCAAACATGGGTGGATGGTCAGAGTCAGCTCTAAACACACCCACTTAAAAAAAACACCCCAGCAACCCCAAATACTCACACACAAGCCTTAGCTTCCCGGATTTTCTCAAAATGGCTGGTGACTTTCGACACGATATCGCACGCGATGAGTTTGGCGTGGTCCACGCGAGCCAGCCGCTCGTGCAGGATTTCAATAGCCCCCCATAAGTCCTCCCGGATGTTCTCCCCCAGCGCCTCCCAGTTATACGCGTACTCCCGCAAGTACACCAGAAAGTAGTCCCTCACGATGAAATCCAGCAACTGCTGCAGCAAACTATCGACCGTGCGGCCGAAAACTTGCGTGAAGTGGGCTTGGGGCGTCTTTGTGTTGGCGTTGGCGTCGTAGTCGCGCTGAAACTTACGTGTAATGAAAGATATTAGAGTGAGGGGGCTCACCATTAGGGTGACTCTGAAGTTCTCGATGTCTTTCAAGGTTTGTTCGGCCCCCACGGTGGCCAAGTGACGCGAAGACAGCTTGATGTGGATCCACACCACGATGCCTATACTCATCACTACGACCGCGGAGGTGAGTAGTGCGAAAAGGAGGAAGGAGAGGCATGTTGAAGAGAGTAGTGAGAGTCCGAGACATGCAGTGGCGATTGCTGTCACATAAACGTACATCCTGCGAAAATGAGTCGGCGGTAAACATAACTTAACCTAAAAATGTACAAAGACAAAAACACTTACGTATCACTTGTGAATCATTTTATAAGTTATCGAGTGATAACGCCATCGTCGATAAATAACTCAAGAGGGCTTGTTTTATGTAAAAGAACCAGCGATATTTTTATTGTTTGAATGACATTTGGTAAGAATCACTCGTGTATTGTTGGTTGCATATTCATCAACTTTGACATTTAATCAAACTTTATAAAACTAACTAAACTATTAAATTAAAACTTGAACATTGCTATTTGCTTTTTCAACAGTTCTGAGTATTCCGCGACATAGTCTTCTCGTATTTCGTGAAAAAAATCCACTATCACTGTATACACACCCCGTGATACTTTCACGTCGCCAAAAACTTCAACATGAGTGTCAACAACTGGAAACTTTTCTACTTTATACATATCTAACAACACTTTAGCCTTATTTACAACATCAGTTCTAACTCTGTGACAACTTAACAAATAATGACTGCTTGAATCAGAGTCATAAGTATAAAATCCAAAAAGTTTGACGTTCTGTGTCCCCCATAGCGATTTATCGCTCCCAAGAAAGCTTCCAATTTCACACAAAATGTATGGCTTTCGTTGAGTGTCCTCCATTCTTCTTAGAACTCGGTAATACTCATCCCTCAGCGGCCTATACTTGTACTTCAAATTTTTCAATTTTCTTTGGGTGGCTTGAACTCTGGCTTTCGAGGTTTCTTCAGACTTTAGTTCCTTGGCAAACTCTTCCAGTAATTCTTTGATGAGTTCTGGCGAGACATCGTCTTGTGTGGACGTAGAAGGGGCCGCTTCACACATTTTGGTGTTAGTTTTGGTCCCAATAACTGCGAAATAAATAAATTTAACGATAAATTAACTGCGATATTTCAAGTTTTAAAAATGACAGTGGTGTCGTTTGACAGATGACAACCAACAAAAATTATAAACACCAAATTAAAAAATAATACATTACCTAGCGTTTCTGCAAACACGTATAAAAACTACGACACAAAGAAAATCTACTTTGAAAGCTTAGTAACAAGAGGAAAGGATTTAATTTCAAAGAGACAACGGGGTTTTTCGTGCTGCTACATTGCCACTTTGCCGCTTGTCACTTGTCACTTGTCAATTGTCACTTGTCACTCAGTTGTGTTTATTTCTCAGATATGTGATTCAACCACATCCTCATGATATTACCAAGGATATTACAATGTTAATGTTAATTTTTTTATTTATTTACAACTAAGACATACCTATGGAGCGTTCAGGCAACCACTGTGAAATGAGGATAAAGCGATTCGCTTACTGGTTCACGGGTTTGGCCATAGTGGTCATAATTTGGAAGTTATGTCTCATTGAATCCAGTAAGTAGTCCCTTTCAGTTACCCAAACCCCACACGCGTCTTGTTGCAGGCGTGGACAATCTCCAGTCTATTCGAAAAATATTAGACTTCCACAAAGACCAGCTCGAATTAACCCAGCAACAGTTGGTGTTTCTGGAGAATCTAGCCAAAAAGAAGAGCGCCGGAGGGCTGCCTACGATTTACGCCGTCACCCCCACGTACTGGCGCCACGTACAAAAAGCCGAACTCACGCGAATCTCGCAGACGTTGCGTTTAGTACCGAATGTACACTGGATTGTGATTGAAGACTCTGAGACGAAAACTGATCTGGTTAGAAATTTAATAGCGGAGTCGGGGCTGGTGGTGACGCATCTGCATGCCAAAACGCCGCCGTTTGAGCAGCTCAAAGACAAGGTAACACTGTAGGATGGTACTTCATTGACAAACTATATAGGTTCCTCAAGGTGAAATTTTGTTGTTTGTGTCTACTAGTCAAAGTGACTGTTTTTAGAAAAAAGAACTTGAAGCTGTGACTTGCGGTGATGCAGAGTGCTTGCAGGACCCACGGTGGAAGCGCCACCGGGGGGTGGAGCAGAGGAACGCGGCGCTCAAGTGGCTGCGCTCGAACCTCCAAGTGAACAAAAACAACGGGATTGTTTATTTTATGGACGACGATAATACGTACAACGTGAAAGTGTTTGAAGAAATGGCGAAAGTGAAGAAGGTTGGGGTTTGGCCGGTGGGGCTTGTGGGGGGTTTGAATGCGGAGACCCCGATTTTGGACGAGAAAAGCGGTTTGTGACGATTATAACGATGATGATGATTTTATTTTCACGATTTTTCAGGCAAAGTCAAAGGGTACAAAAGTGGCTGGAAAGCGGACCGACCGTTCGCGATTGATATGGCGGGTTTTGCCATAAATTTGGATCTAATTTTGAAAAGCGAGGCTTCGTTTTCATATAAAATGGAAAAGGGGTACCAAGAGAGCGAGTTCTTGAGTTATTTTATAAAAAAGGAGGAGTTGGAGCCGCTGGCTGACAATTGCACAAAAGTTTACGTTTGGCATACAAGAACAGAGAAGCCGGTTGTGAACGGGGTAGTTCCAGGTTTAGAGGTTTAAAAGTAGTTTCAAAATTCCAATATGCATCTGTGATACATTTTTTGTGTACTTCCGGCGTTTTAGCGATTAGGTGAAAATAAAGATCCTTTCACACTAACATTTTACCACTCCATATATACATTGTAGAATAAATATGTACAGTAATAAAAATTAAGCCATATCTAGAATCCTGGGTATAGATGTAGGAACCCAAGTTGAGTTATTTTGTGACAGAAACACCACGTTTTGGTCAATGTAACACTGGAGCCCGTTGGAGCCTATCCTGTACACTTGTTTCGCTTCATAATACTTATTTGGAATAGGGACAAACAAAATCCCTCTTTCTTCGCAATTTCGGGCCAACATGTCTTTGTACAGACGGGGTTTAGAGCGTACAGTTTCGGCGAAACTCTGAAACACAAAAAAATATACATACTTAAGTCACGTTTAGTTACTAATGCATACCTCGATTTGTGGTGGCGGTGGCGGCGGCGGCGTATTATGTTCCATGCTATTTAGGTACGAAATCGACTCTTTCGCCCCCGGTTGTTGCCCCATATTCACCGCACGTCCCATAATATCAAGCGCCTTGTGGAAATTCTCTTTAATACTAGGCTGCGCTAGCAACTCGTCTGATAACATATTCTTCCACCCTGTATACCATTCCGTCACTTCGTTATAATTCGGGTTGTGATTCAGCCACATCGCTAACGTCTGGCGCCATCTCGGGAAAAAGAACTTATCCAAAATCAAGGTCATGTTCCCCACTGACAACATATCGCTCCAATCCATCACCCAATACCACGCCTCTGAAACACCCAACGTCAATTTCTACACACCCTTCACCCTTAAAGTACCTAGATGCTGTTGGTGTGGATTGATGACCAAATTTTGCATACACATCTGCAGTTTGGGCACGATGTGTTTGATAAGAAACGCGACGAAGACGCCCTCTGGCAGCACCCGTTGCCACGGTTTCAAAATGGGTTTCGCGGATTTGTCCGACGGGTGCCAGTTGGTCAAAGCCGCCCCCAGCTTCTCCTGGATGATGGGATAAATGACGGTTTGCAGCCGCGCATCCAGGAGAGGTATCCACGGGTGGATCCACACGTGTATCGGGATGATGTCCCTCAACGGGTTCCACTCGTTTACCTCGGCCTGGATCTTGGGCATGATCAGTTGGTCGTAAATGTTATCCAGGATCCACTGCGGCAGCAGCGGCATCCACGTCTCAATTAACGTAATCAGAGGATCGCAATCTTTCGGATTCCATGCGCTGCAAAGAATTTGGGTTGTTTTACACAGGGGTTTTTGTGAGGGCCGTGTCTTTTCGTGGATATAGCACACACGTCCTTAACACAAAATTCGTGTTATTAAACAAACACCCTACTGAGTGTCGGATATCCATTTATAGACAAACAATAAAGTAACTTACCTAACACAAATTCGCATTACAGGCATCCAAGTGTGCCATAAGAGACTATCATATGGCTGAATTCCCATATTATTACCTTCTAGTGTCCCACGTTGTCTGGGCTTGTCCAGAATGTCCTTCCAACGACCAAACACATCCATGTATTGCTTGGGGTTGGTCAGTGGGGACCAACTGGCGAGCGCGGAGGTCAAAAGCGGGCCGACTAAACCTGGCGCGAGCTCACCCAACTCATACCTGATAAACTCTTCATAGTGGTTGTCCTAAACCAACCCGCGCGATTATTTTACTATCAAAATAACACAAATCGCAGCAGGCGGCGCCTGCGCAACTCTGACGTCACGCGAAACGAGCTCGCTTCACCCCGCCTACCGCGATCGCTAAACTTCAACACAAACAATCGTTTTACCTGCAAATTATCAAAAATTTGAGCTACTTGCAGCAGCGACAACCCCAACGACGGATCCAACAACTTATCAACTATCTCAATCACGCTCTTCAGATTATCAACCAACTCGTCCTCTTTCTTAACCAACAGTTTTAAATTTTCTTGCTCGTTTTTCAAAGCCACGATTCTGTCTTGGTTGTGTCTGGTGCCGCGATCGATCCGAATAATATCTTGCTCACACATGTCCACCAAAACGTCCAAGTTGTGTTGGATTTCAGGCAGCGCGAAATTCGAACACTTCTTGTGGACGACGTCTTCGAAGTGCTCGACTCCAGGGGGCGCTTTTAACCCACTCAGGGCGTGATAGCCGCTCAAAACCCTCTGCTGCGGCCCCGTCATGTCAATAACTTTGACCTTACTCAACTCGCTGGCGGCCCCCATGTTACGAAAAGCCCCAGGTCGTTTACCCTTCTCGATCACGTCGTCGACGCTTCTGTAATAATAGCGCGTTTTTTTCTTAACCATGTCGCTCTTTTTCCACTTGTGGTCGCTTTTGTCGTCATCTTCGACGTCTTCTTGGATTTCCTGTCAAGTCAAGACGATAAAATAAAATTTCTGTGCAGTTTTGAAATTCGGGATTACCTTTTTCTTAGGGGGGGCGGCCGGTTTCTCGGGTCCGTAGGCGCCAATGGCGCCCCTGCCCTTCCTCAAGTGGGCTTCTACTGGAGCCGAGATCCCCTGCAAGTCCTTCCCCAGCCCCTTTCCCGGCTGGAACCCCATTTGCAGCAGCAGTTTGGCCCCGATGCCCTTTGTGTGTCTCTCCCAGTTGCCCACCCCTAGACTGGCGCCCCCTTTGTTGTTTTTGCCGCGCAGCCCCGCTATCTCCCCGCTGGGCTCGCTCACGGCCCCGAACCCTGCAACTCGTGCGTTACTCCAATTTTTCGCCCCTTGTGCCACTTACCCGCTCTCGGTTTGTCCTCCTCGTCGCTCGAGCTGTCTCTGGTCTTGAACGACGTCGTCGGCTTCTCGTCGTCGCTCTCTGCCTCCTTCTCTTCCTTCTTCTTGCCCGCTTGCTGCACCCCGCCGGCCACGAAACCGATGGGGGCCGAGTAGTTCTTAGGCTTGCGGCTTTTGAAAGACGGCCTTTCGTCTTCGTCATTGTCGCTGTCGTCTGCCCATACACCTAGACGTAATTCGTTAATTTGCTATCGCACGCACTAAACGAGAACAATTAGATGTGGAGTCAAGTTGTTACCATAGATCTGTTGGTGTTTTGTTAACTTTTTTCTACCACGGAAAAACTCATTGTCTAAATCGTAATCCGTTATTTCGAACTTCTCCATCTCGTCGTCCGACATTTCGGATGGGTTTTAGCACTTTGTTTGCAACGAAATCGATCGAAATGGCTGAATTCACAACATTGAGGTTAGGGCGGCGAGTTGACGCTTCGGGACGAAGGTGTCAATTTGTCGGTAAAGTAGAGACCGGTACACTTTTGCGTCATTGACGCACTACGAAACGAAAAATTTACGGAATTACAGGTGGCTACAACTCTGGTGATAGTTAACTTTTCAACCTTGACGAAATATAAATTGAAGCGATGAGATAAAAACACTAACATAAATCGATTTATACTTTTTTCTGAGACTATCTCGACTACATTATCACCGATTATTACTACCTTATTACGAAAACTACGTCGATAAATGTTGTGATAAAAAATATTGGGAAAATATTCCATCAATAATGTCTTTTTTGTGTTCACCGCCTCAAACCAAAAGAAATGTAGAAGATCCAAATCCCCCGACGTATCTCATAAATAAGTGCTTTTTCAGAACAAGCGAAGAAGCGTAATTATTTAGCCATGAAGGCTCTATCTAACCAAACAAAAGACTGGGGATGAACGCACATAAAAACATTCCTTTTCTGCATAATTAAGTAGGATTGAACAGATACAAAGGGGAACGCTGAAAGGAAGACGGGTAATAGAGGATTTTGTAAACAACGCCGAGAAACGAGTGGTCATTTGTCAACAAGCTTACATCAGACATTTGACTAATGAGTTCTATTTTGGTTGAAAATTATTGCCTTCTTATCGAAGTGAAAGGACGGACACCTCCGGTTTTCGCTTAATTTCCGTCTGTCTGTCTGTCGCGGATTAACTAGTTTTAAAAAGGAACAATTACAACCCCCAGCAACGTGTAAACTTTTACGAGCGAAGGTAGCTCTCCTGATAATGCAAGCCGGCAGTGAGTAAATGCTTCCAGAATCTGCGATGGCACTTAGTCGGACATAACACACGGTGTAATCGACGCTGTGCGTCTGGACTCTTAAAACAGGCGTTCGCCAGGCGTCTAGAGGATTATCAGCGGCGCTCGGCGTCAGTAACCGGCATCCAGCGTCGGTGGATGCACGTTTTGCGCTCGCGAGCAGTGCGCGTCGTGATAAAGCCGCCCAAAACGAACGATCCGTAAGTAAATTTGCAGTTTCTCGAAAGAAAAATCCAAAAGAGAGCTTTTCCGGAGGCAGCGAAAATGGCGGAGGCGCCGGTTTCCAAAATGGAAACAAAAGACCGTGATTGAATTAAACGCGGACAAAAGAGCACTTGTAAATTGCAATTAATCGGGATGAGGTCGTGTTGAATTTGGCGGTGATTGTCATTTATTTTTTATTCGGAGATTATTATTTTATTTTGAGTATTTACTTTGTTGAGGGTTCGGAGCGGCTTTCCCATTTAACATCGGCGTTATCGCTTAATTCGCCCTATTTATTATTTAAAACTGAAAAATAGCAAACATTAGCGGAAATTATTATTACGGCATTAAATTGATGGCGTCAAATTTATCGTACGACATGGGTCTTCCGCTACGTAATAAGATTCTGACGTGAATAATTTCCAGTCATAAACTCGAAAATAACACGAATGTTGGCTAGAGATAGCACGATTTTGGATGTTAGTACGATTTTCATAATGCGCTAAACCGATATCAGGATCATGATATCTGCAATATCGAAAATTTTACTCTAAGTCCAACTGATATCGGTATGCAAATATTTGTTTATTTGGGTTGAAGAAAAATTGCCACATTAATTCGTGATTCGCCGGAAATTAAATCAACTTTGTTTCTAATTCGGACGCAACAATGTCTTTATTTTTAGCACGGCGAGACATTAAATATAATTGTCGGGGTTAATTAAAAATTCCTTTTCGGCCATTTTCGCAACTATGCTGTCGTGCAAATTGATTATGGTCGGGCGAAAGAATTATCAGCGCAGTCACGTTCCCATAACCAGTTGTTCTGGTTTATGATATTAAAAAAAAACGGTGTCAAAATTTAGTCAGACTAAATGAACACTAATTATCCCAAAATTAATTGCACCTCTTTCATTAGTATGGCATCACATATTTATTGATTCAAAAGCCATACAATTACGGCAATTTACACACCTCGTTGGTACACGTTCCATTATTCTGAATAAATTTCCAAAATTTTTACACATCGAAAAAATTATTTACCCCAAAAAACTCGCTTTATTTTTATTTATCTTTATTCCACAGCAAATTAGAGCTTTCCAGCGCGTAACGATACAACAAATTTATGAAAAACAAATGTAAACATAATCTAAAACAAAACCGTGCGGCCAACAAAGCTCGACTTTTTTCAAGCCCTCTTAAAATGCGCAAATTTAATAAAGCACGACTAACTAACCCCACATTTCAGCCCCAAAAACCAAATTATTTACAACCCAGTCACTTGGTTATTTTTTTTACATTACACATTCATGCCCACTTCCTTCGAAATCCTCCAATTCTCCTACCAATTTTTATTCGCAAGCAAGCCACCCCGTCCCGTAATCCCCTCCGTGCCTGCGGGCATCCCGTAATTTCATAACGACCGTCAGGTGCTCACTACACATTGTATACAACTCGAAAATCGCCACAACGACAGTTCGGAGCTTAAATAATTAACTCCGGCACTCTGAATCGCTGACGAGGGTGAAACGCGAAGTACAAATAACCCTCGAACGAATCCCACGACACGAGTCGTATCAGTACTAATTACCGACTTCGATATAAAATCTTGACCCTTGATTTGGTGCCGTCGTTTTCAGAAAAATAGCGGAATCGATAGAGAGTGCGGGGAACGCAGGGATAAATCAGGCGCCTCGTGCTTAAAAATTGGAGTGAAGTGGTGGTGATTCGGCGGCGGGCTCCAGGAAGACTCACCTCTGGATAGAATACGGAGAAAGTCACGGGCTATCGCCGCGAAACGCGGCGGCGGCAAAAAAGTCAAGGTAAGTTGCTGGGGCGATATCGAATATTTATGGGAGAGTCAAAGAAAACTGCACGAATCAATTGTGTTGAGATGGGGATGAGTCGGGACGATTCGAGATTCCATCAGGAGTTCCTTTATATTTGTGAGCGGCGATCATTCAAAAACGGTAAAGGTTTTAATGGTCGTTAGTGTCGAGGCGGAGAGCGTGGATCAGAGCCGGGGGAAGTGATTGGTTTATGAGGAGGGTAATTTGTGATAAGAAAAACTCGCTGAGACAAATTGTTTGTTAGCATATCATTATTTTTTGCGCCGCCACAAGCAAGATGTTCGGCGGGGTTTGGCTCGAAAAAGACAATGAAAAATCGGTGCGGAGTTGTTTAAACAGAAATTCCCGCGACTCTGGAGTCTCAAGATCTTTTTAAATGGTTAAAAAAACAGCACAGCGGGTGCTGATTCACATTGTTTTTGTTTTTTTTAAGAAAATACCAAAGGGTTCCAAAATTTATTCGCGTTCTTAAAAAAAGACAGTCATTTCTCAAATTTTCTAAAACTAAATACCAAATGTCCCCAAGATTCTTTTTTCTACATCAGCATAGCAGGAGTCTCTCAATTTTTTTCATATTCTTAAAAGTTTGAGACTAGGGGAGCCCCAGATTCTTTAAAAGCGTTTTGAAAACAAAAGACACCAAGGAACTCCGAGATTCTTTAAAAATTTTCCTAAAACAAAACACGAGAGATCTTCAAGATTCTTTTACATTCTCAAAAAAGATTCTAGGTTACCCAGTGATTTTTAATAAATTTTCCCAAAACAAACCACCAGGGACCCCCGAGGACCTTAATCAATTTTCTAGAAAAAATACTAGGAGTTCCAAACATTCTTTCACGTTCTTAAAAAAATTACATTAGGGGACCCAGTGATTCTTTAAAAATTCCCTAAAATAAAACATCAGAGAATCTCGAGATTCTTAAAACTTTCTTCTAAAACAAAATACTAGGGGTCCCCCAAGATTCTTTCAGATTCTTAGAAAAATTACATTAGGAGACCACCAGATTCCTTAAAAATACTATTTCTAATACAAAATACTAAGGGTCCCCGAGATTCTTAAATCTTTTTTCTAAAGCAAAACGCTTGGGATCCCCAAGATCCTTTTGCAATAAAAAAAGACACTAGGGGACTCCGAGATTGTTTAAAAATTTTTCTAAAACAAACTACGAGAGATCTTCAAGATTCTTTCACATTCTCAAAAAAGATTCAAGGGGACCAAGTGATTTTTAAAAATTTTCCTAAAACAAACCACCAGGAATCTCCGAGATTCTTAATCATTTTACTACTAGAAGTCCCAAAGATTCTTTCAGGTTCTTAAAAAATGGCACTAGGGAATCCCAAGATTCTTTAAGAATTTTCCTAAAACAAAACACTAGGGATCCCAGAGATTCTTAGAGATTTTTTTCTAAAACAAAACACTAGGGGTCCCCAAGATATTATCACATTATTAAAAAAAAAGAGTCTAGGGATTTCGAGATCCTTTGAAAATTTTCTTAAAATAAAACACTGAGATTTGCAAGATACTTTCATACCCTTGAAAAACGATTCTAGGAGACCCTGTGATCCTTTAAAAATATTTCGTAAAAAATTACTGGGAGTCCCCAAGTTACTTTCACATTCTTAAAAAAAATGACACTAGGGGACCCCAAGATTCTTTAAGAATTGTCCTAAAACAAAACACTAGGGACTCCAGAGATTCTTAAAAAAATTTTTCTAAAACAAAACACTAGGGGTCCCCAAGATATTATCATATTATTAAAAAAAAAAAATTCTAGGGGATTTCGAGATCCTTTAAAAATTTTCTTAAAATAAAACTCTAGAGATCTTCAAGATACTTTCACACCCTTAAAAAAAGATTCTAGGGGACCCTGTGATCCTTTAAAAATATTTCGTACAAAATTAATGGGAGTCCCCAAGTTGCTTTCACATTCTTAAAAAAATGACACTAGGGGATCCCAAGATTCTTTAAGAATTGTCCTAAAACAAAACACTAGGGACCCCAGAGATTCTTAAAGATTTTTTTCTAAAACAAAACACTAGGGGTCCCCAAGATATTATCACATTATTAAAAAAAAAGATTCTAGGGGATTTCGAGATCCTTTAAAAATTTTCTTAAAATAAAACACTAGAGATGTT